ACCTGAGGCCAATTATGCCTCCCCCTGCCATCGTTTCCCGAACCACTCCCTTCTCCGTCCCCTCTGCAGCTGAGCCAAACCACGCCCGCCACCACAGTGTCATATTTACTGTATATGGTACTAAGCCATGAAGAAAAAACCGACCAAATTCATGTTACAACCAGCTTTTATTGGCACAAAGTGGACTTAAAAGCACCTCATCGTACAGCACACACCTGCTTTAAACCCTGTATTCTAATGTATCTTGTGGCATTTGCTTTCAAACAATAGCCATGTTAATTAAAGCTGACGGAGTCTGACGGAGTCTGTCCATCTGGTGTCGTGGTGCAGCCAGAACAAGCTGGAGCTCAACGCTCTGAAGACAGTGGAGATGGTTGTGGATTTCCGGCGGAACAGAGCCCCACCCTCCCTCATCACCCTGTGTGACTCCCCCGTCACTATTGTGGATTCCTTCCGTTTCCTGGGCTCCATCATCACCCAGGACCTCAAGTTGGAGCTGAACATCAGCTCCATCACCAAGAAGGGTCAGCAGAGGTTGTTCTTCCTGAGGCAGCTGAAGAAATGCCAACCTGCCAAAGACGATGATGGTCCACTTTTATACGGTCATCATCGAGTCCATCCTCTGCTCCTCCATCACCGTCTAGTACGCTGCAGCCACAGCCAAGGACAAGGGCAGGCTGCAGCGTGTCATCCGCTCTGCAGAGAGGGTGATCGGCTGCAATCTGCCGTCCCTGCAAGACTTGTTCGCTTCTAGGTCTCTGAAGCGAGCTAAAAAGATCGTGGCCGACCCCTCTCACCCCGGTCAAAACCTGTTTGTGCCCCTTCCATCTGGCAGGAGGCTGAGGTCCATCAGGACTAAGACCCCCCGCCACATGAACAGTTTCTTCCCGTCGGCAGTCGGGCTCATCAACAGAGCCCGGTCCCCCACTGACTGACTCTGACATTCCACCGGTCACTCTCTTTCATACTGCACATGTCACTTTAACTGTCATTTTTCACTCGTCACTTGTCACGTTGTCACTTGTTGCTAGTGCACTTTATTTTTAAATATTTGTAATGTTTAACTGTATTCTCTTATTTTATACTAACCCATAGCCTTATTCTACTAACCCATAGTATTAGCATTTCATTTTATTTTATTACTTGTGCACTGCTGTCTTGTTGTCTATTGTTACACTGTCTACTGTCACGCACCAACTGCCAAGTCAAATTCCTTGTATGTATGACATATTTTGGCAATAAATGTTTCCTGATTCCTGATTCCTGAAAAACTCAGTGACAAGGTTTATTAACAGGAAAGTTACAATGAGTGTTGCCTTTCACCTTTTGTTCTTTATTCATTATGTTGCAGTTTATAGTAACATTGTAACTGAAGATATTTGCTCCCATTTCCAAATAAATTCCGTCATTTTGTGTCAGAGGGAGAGCTATTTATAACCACTGTACCGAGTGGCAAGAGTACATTTGTGAGGGAGAGCATTAATTGCAGAAAAACCGAGTGGTGGTTCAGTAGTTGTTTGTTTTATAGCTAAATGAAGAGCAAGGATATAGAGTATACTCTATATGCAGCTAATAACAAAGCCAATTTGAATTGGCCCACATTTACACCCACGGGTTTATTTATAGCGGGGTAACCGCAGCATGCATGCTCTCTCTCTGCATTCGTGAACAACTGGAAGAACCTTTGACATAAGGCCTGCTTTAATCATTCACCAAACGCGTTACATGCATGTAATTGAACACAAAGAAGCCACCTGATGTGGTGGGGGTCATACTACCCTTGACCCCGTGAGTCTGCAGCTCACTGACTGATCGCCCATTACTCCCATCATGCATCGCTGCAGATCGGCTGTCTGGGGGAATCACTTTAACGTCCATGCGAGTGGTAATGATTGAAAGGAACTCTTCTTCCTTTTGGCGATGCACTCGGAGGGGAGTTGGGAGAAGAGAGCATGAGGGGCTGTGTCCATACGCAGATATTTATCACAGGCAGGCTGACCTGTTTTACGCTCAGGAGACTCCCAGACGGCCCCCTAATAAACGCTTGGACAGGATGAAATATTCATGCCGAGTTAAATATGGATCGTAGAGCAGTTGCCCCGCATTAAACATTGTCAATGCTTATCAGCACTGACACACCTCTTTTCTCCCACTCCAGGATTTTACCCATCTACATTTGAGACTGCCTGTCGATTTTGGGAAGGTATGAAGGAAGAAACCGCTGTGCAGAATGGAGTCTTAGACTAAGTCTTAGTCGTGAGAGGGAGGGACAGAGCACCCCGAGATGTACTTGATGAGCAAATGTGGGAGTCACATGTGTCGGGCTGCTTCTATCAATGTTGCTAGCAGCGAAATAAACAGCAATACTGCTCCAGCAGTGGATGCCGTTTTTCTCCCGACATCTCACGCAACATCAAGCGCTCATATTGAATTTGACTAGTCAAATATAACACAGTAAAACACATACTTTTCATACACCCGTATAAACAAATTAAGTACAGTACTAATAGATCTTGGTCCCAGAAAGTGAGATGGTGGCCATCCCAATGGAATCATGGGAGGGACTAAATGGATCAGCTTGGGTCCATCTGTCCATTCCTCCCTCCATCTGCCATGTAAAGTAAATCTGTTTCTGCTCACTGGCTTTTTGAGATTCGGAGAAGCACTTTGCCAGTCCTTTGTTCAAATTCTTATTTGTTGGTCTCACTTCGATCACAACTTTAAAGTAGGTATATAAATTGACAGCGTTGAAGTCTGAACTCTGAGTCTTTTTTTATCGCTTTTCTGTAGTCATCAAATTCATGTGAGTGGAGTGTACACATCTGGCCCTGGCTTAGACTGAGAAATATTTCCTCATGCAACACAGAGGGAATGCATGAAGGAAGGGTTAGGAGACACAAGCATCCAGAAGCTTAAGTTAATGGTCAAAAAACAACAGGAGCTTATTAAGGACAGTAAGGTCATTTCCTCTATTGTTTGTGACTATAACAGAAAACCATCACACAGTCAGTGTCTGCTTCATAAAAAAAAAAAAAATACATGTATATATTTATGCAGGCTACAAGATCCAGTTGAAAGCGCTGTGCTAAGCAGAGAATCATTTTATTATAATAATAGTTTCGTCTAAATATAGTTTTCTGATCATAATTCTTCTGTTAAAACCTTATATTTACATTTCTGTCTGTGTGGAATATATAATGTGTTGATTGGTGAGCGCTGAGACATTTAGTAAACAATGTATTTAGTCATTGAAGCTTATGTCCTTCGCCTTGGACTGGCTCATTTGCCCTGGTAAGCTCTGACAACTTTGCCCAGCTAACAGTCATGTCTTAAACCTCCCTCTTGAAATGGGTGTGTTTCTGTGTTTCTACACGTACATTTGTAATTGACAGAATTGGTGTCATGCTGACTCCTGTGGACCCTTTGGGCTTTAGAAAAATAGAAAGAATGAATTGACTCCAGGCACCCACCTTTTATATTTGCATCTGATACCAAAAGTATTCTGACCATTATGAACCTGTTTTTATCAAAATAAGAGGTTTTCTTCAACACAATAGTTTTATGTCCCTTTTATGAGTGTGTATAGCCAATGACCTTCTATCACAATCGTTCACTGTGGTTTTGACACAGTAACACATGGCTCAGCTTTAAACCTTTAACAGTGAGCTTCATTTATGTTGAACACAGCAATGTTTCTGACGTTATGAGCGGCAGCTGAGTGGTCATCTTGTCATGACATGGTTAAATTAGACACTGCCAGTGTCTCCCAGGCTATCACTCTGGGGATGTCATCATCAAAACATTAGTAATTATATTATAATATTATAGTCCTACCAATTTATTTGATATCCATAAGATGGAATTAGGTAAATATGTTTCCCTTTTTAGAGGGTGGGTGTCATTTTTTAATTTTCATTGACTCTGCGAACATGCACACAATGTTCTGCCGTGTTGACATGCACATACAGACTAAGATAATGCTTGATAGATATTGACTAATATATTATCATGTGTGTGTGTTTAGTTGAGCGCACAGGCCGTTACCGAGGAGCCAGAACAAAGTAGCTGCAACATGTCACACATTGTCCTTTTCTTTACTGGATTCATACTCCACCATTTAATTATTTTACAATTATAATTACAGCTACACCTTTCCCCACCCTCATTTGTGTCTCCATTGCTACCTTCCAAAGTGAAAAGGAAGGTTAGCCTATACAAAAGTTATGAGTTAAAGCATTGATAAAATATGGATTAAGCAGAGAGGTTTATGAAACATCGGACACATTGACACCACATTTGACAAAACTACATTTGTATTCATTCATCAAGCACACGTACAGCATATCCATTATATGAACAGGTGGAAGTGAAAATCATTACTAGTTCCAGATTAATAACAAACAAAATGGATCGGCTACTGAGAAGAGAAATTCCGATTGATCATTCAGTCCATGTGTATATGTCAAAATTAAGATGGTTTTGATTCTTTGGACTTCAATTAATTTTCCATTGCAAGGTTGACTTCACAAATATCCTAAACACAGCGGGGAGTGGCCTATAGAGGAAGAGAGGGATCAATAGCAGTATCAATGTCATCTATAGTGAATGATGTGCAATATTGATATATGTCTTTGTTCCGTTGTGTTTTGAAAGAATATTTGTACGGTTGCTTCGAAGTTTGCTGATAGTGAGGCGATGCGGACTGCTCTGTTGAGTCGGAAGGACACAAAGGACATGGGAAAAAAATTGAAAGGAAATATTGTGTACTGTGTGAGAACACACAGTAGGAGGGTGTCAGACGGCATGGATTTCAACTGAACTGAACAGTAAATACATGAATCATAAGTAGCTGTTACCTCAATTACTGTTTAAATATATGTGCATATTTTCGAAAATGTATGTTTAGGGGAGTCGTTGCTCTCACACAATCCAAATTGGGCCACTTTCAATTGGGCAAAATACTTTTAAATATACTTTTTCCATCCTTGTTTTCTCCACAGGTCTGATTCGGTTGCAGGAACTTATAAAGGCGCCGTCCCGCTACAACATCCGGTTAAAGATCCGACAGCTGCCTGCAGAGACAAAGGATGCTAAGCCCCTTTTAAAAGAGATGAAGAGAGGGAAGGAGTTCCACATCATCTTTGACTGTGGCCACGAAATGGCTGCTGGGATACTGAAGCAGGTATGTGTGTATGTACATATTTGTCGGTGCAGCTCTATGCACCTGTGATCTTAAATCCTTGTGAAGGTGGTTGTCAAATGGAAACTACAGTGGGACACAGCTGTAAGGTCTGATCAGAAGAACAAAGCTTCTTTAGTTTGTCTGTTAACGCAAACTTCACTGTGACGGATAAAAGTTTGGCTTTACTTTTTATTTTGACACATTTTCTTCCATAAATACACAAAATTATCCTTATGATGATGAATGCGTTTCCTTCCTCTATTGTTCAGCTGGTTTCACAAATCTGCCCATGATGTCTTTTTTTAAACATCAGGGTTTTAGTCATTCATAGGATTGAGAGCATTTTATTGTCAAACTACAGTTGCACTAACATTAATACAATACAGGCAGTACAGTGCACTTTTTTATATTAGGGGTCCTCAACCGATATTTTCCATTCTAAAATTCTAAGAAATAACAGTGGAACTGCTCATAGCATGAGGTTATACATCAGGACCAGCAGTCTTAATTCTTTACTTGTATGGATCTTTAATAACGTTTTAACCACTGCAGTCATCACCTCTTTTGCAACCCCCCTTGGGATAGTAGCCTTTTGTGGTTCGGTAGGATGTGCCCCCCTAAACGAAGCCTCTCCTGCTGCGCCGGCCTTCTTTCCTCCGTTTGTTGGACAGATATGTTTTTTTCAGTTATTATTATGAAAAAAACACATTTATTTATTTTGCCTAGCTATTTTCTTTTGTGATTGTGAAATCTGGTGAGCGCTTGCTAGAATGCTAACATCACCGAAGGTTTTGGCGTTTAATATTTGTTCAACAGCTGATTTGAAGATAAGGCTGCCACTGGTAGTTCACAAGCTCTTATTAGGGACCAGTACTATATATAGTGATGAGGAGAAGTAATGTGTTTTAGTTGCCCAATCCCAACAAACTTAGCTTTCCAGTAAGTACAGTTTCCATGTAGAAGATGTCCAAGAAAGAAAGGTTTCTTTGAGGAAATTGCCATCAAATGTACAAATGTAAAACACTGCTTTCCCACCATGGAACTCTACAGTTTTTGAAGGAGACATGCCAAAATAGTCCAGATGCCATGATGGAAACCTGGAATGACTGCCAGAGGTAATAAAAGCAGTAAACATAGCGGCTATGATGTTTTAAAACTAATTATCTCTAATTTATGACTCGTGAGTCATCTCATTATCTCATGGTGGAACACTGTGTATCATGACTTGATTATCAAAATGAATTTTTTTGCATCTTTCTTATTCTGTACATTACTTTACATTTAGCTGACGGTTTCATCCAAAGGGACTTAAAATAAGTGCATTCAACCATAGGGATACAAAGTGCAATTTCATCAAATAAGACAATTTACTATAGATAAGTGGCGTGACAAGTACAATTTAAGTGCTACAGTTAGTTAGTGTTTTAGTGGAGGTAGAGTCTGAAGAGGTGTGTCTTTAGTCTGAAGATGTGAAGGCTCTCTGTGGTCCTGGTGTCTTTAGAGAGCTCGTTCCACCATTTAGGAGCAGGACAGCAAAGAGTGGAGATCTAGTCGAGTGTTTTGCTCTCAGTGAGGAGGAACAAGCAGTTTATCACATGCAGAGCGGAGAGTGCGGGTCTGGATGTAGGGTTTGACCATGTCCTGGATCGAAGCTGGACCCGATCCATTCACAGCACGGTAGGTGAGCACCAATGTTTTGAACTAGATGCGTGCAGCCACCGGTAGCCAGTGAAGAGAGCGGAGGAGTGGAGTAGTGTGGGAGAATTGACTAGTTGAGCTGCTGCATTCTGGATGAGCTGCAGAGGCCGAATGGTGGTAGCAGCGTGTATCTACAGGATCGTGTTCGTGCAGTAATACTTGCATGAGTGGTGCTCTATGGTCTATGGGATATGTTTTCCTCCACATGATGGATGCTGTTGATCTGGATGAAACACAGAGGCTGTATACGTTGTGATAATGACACTTTACTTAAGGACATACTATTTCATCAGTTGCACTATATTATTCCCAGTGATAAAGTAAAGGCTACAAGCTTTTGCTTGTCCTTGTACACTAGACTTTAGCTCTGAACTCACAATTCTACATAATGGCGTTTCTATGCAGCAGAAGAATGTTATTTGACATAAAAGAGAAACATTGCAAGGAGTAACTTAATTAGCAAGCAGTCATATTTCTTATACTATCAGGATTTATCCAATATTAAAGACACATTATTTCCCCCGGCACTCTGTCACTCTCCCAGGGTTTTAAGTATTAGATTGCTGGGTAAAGGTCAAGGACTATTCTGTCATTCAGAGAAACCTTGCTAATGGGACATAATGAAAGACTTCACTGTCCTCATTTGATCTCATTACATTGCAAGCTGAAAAGTTAGAGATTTTCATATCCAACAACAGCTACCAGCCTTTAACTCCAAATGGGTTATGAGGAAAACAAGGCCGTCAATTAGCAAACACTAGTCATTTCATTCCTATGTCTGGTAAAGAGTTGTCCGAATATGTGATGTACAAGTGCAACCAGGGAAAATGTGTTAATGAACATTCCTAATAAACATAATGGTCTATTTACATTTTCTATAATTATGGTTAGACATTGCAAAACAGCAAGAAATTAATGACAATCAATAAGAAAGGAAATAAACAGCTGAACAATAAAGTCTACCAATAGGATAGAATATTACAGAGGTTGTACTTTATTGTCCAATAATGTAACAGAGATCATAATTCATAATATTTATTTCATATTGCTATGAAAGGTTCTCCCTCATACAACTGTATTTAGTTACATGGAGATTGCATGTCGCTAAACACCCAATTGAGATCGGCTTGTGCCGTGCTGACAAAGGAACCGGCCACCGGAACCTGCCGTTCTGACAAAGGAACCGGCCACCGGAACCTGGCGTTCTGGCAAAGGAACCCGCCGTTCTGACAAAGGAGCCGACCACCGGAACCTGCCGTTCTGGCAAAGGAGCCGACCACCGGAACCTGCCGTTCTGACAAAGGAGCCGACCGCCGGAACCTGCCGTTCTGGCAAAGGAGCCGACCACCGGAACCTGCCGTTCTGACAAAGGAACCTGCCGTTCTGACGAATGAGCCGACCACCGGAACCTGCCGTTCTGACAAAGGAACCTGCCGTTCTGATGAATGAGCCGACCACCGGAACCTGCCATTCTGGCAAAGGAGCCGACCACCGGAACCTGCCGTTCTGACAAAGGAACCTGCCGTTCTGACGAATGAGCCGACCACCGGAACCTGCCATTCTGGCAAAGGAGCCGACCACCGGAACCTGCCGTTCTGACAAAGGAACCTGCCGTTCTGACGAATGAGCCGACCACCGGAACCTGCCGTTCTGACAAATGAGCCGACCACCGGAACCTGCCGTTCTGACTAAAGAAACCGACCACCGGAACCTGCCGTTCTGACAAAGGAACCTGCCACCAACCACTTTTCGCACTCGGCGTCATTCCTCGTCAGGGCGAGTCTCGCGACCACCGGCAGTGTCCTTCCAAGAAGACCCGACCCAAACTTGGTATGAGAGAAGAACTTTGCCGGAGAAACTAGAGCTCGACTCAGATCAGCCTGACCTCATGATCGGAAAACGTACCGGCGTGAAAGGGAAGCTGCACACATGACGCTTCTACACCTGGGATGTTTAGCCAGCTAGTTAACACGGCATGACGTCGCTGTGTTAACGTTAACATCGCTACACAGCTGCGACGCACGCTCACAGGACTGCGGTGAGGACACACAACCAGGACGTGGATGAAAACAGGGACATTTTTATCCAAAATAATTTAGTTTTGTGGGGATTTTGAGTTAGTCTTTCCTCAACACAGTGATTGGGTGTTTCCCCAAAACACACAAGTTCATCTCAATATATACATATACATGTTCTAATAGATTTCATATATAATATATATTGAATATATTATATCATATTTATAATAGTTACGATATGGTAGTTATATCATATTCATATTTTGTTTTTTTGTTATTTAGTTTCCAGCTACATCACCAGCTAGCTTTATCACTGTCTCAATAGTTAGTGTCTGGGGGAAAATAAACGTACAAAGCTGTCCAAATCAAGATCTTAGCAGAGCTAGAAAGAGCGAAACTAAATCCAGAGAAAAATAATAAAAGTTTATCTTACTTCATCTTTAAATGCTACAGCACAAGTGGTAAGTGCTTTTGTATCTCTTTGATAACTTTGACGTATGCTTTAAACTTGAGCAGCAACTGTAACTAAACAGCATGCAAGAACTGCCCTCAAGTGACACTAAAAAATTGAATATGAGCTCTAAAAGGTCAATGTCACTCGTCTGTTATCACAAGGTCCTGGAAATGGCGCCATGTGACTCACTACTGAGTGGGCAGGCTTTTAGATGAAATGCTGGAGGCTTTCTCAAGGTTTCCCACCTTCTACCAGCAGCCATTATCCCTTCCATTCTATTTAATCATCCTTTCCACACAGTCCTAATCTGTGATTCATATTGGTTCAGTGAGTTTCTACACTGCGGGCAGGACTTTGACACCACCGTATAGCACCATACAGCCTGAATAGGGTAGCATACAGCCAGCACACACACACACCATCGAGATGATAATAGAATTATGCAAAGAAAGGTTCCACTTTAGAATATCATCTCAGAGGTGCATTCGTAGAGACAGATTGTCTTGGTAATGTTGCGAATGAGTACATTCCTCGCTTGGTAAGATGAAAGGCAATCAAAGACAGACAGTCAGGGACACTTAAGTAAAATGACAGGCCGGTTCATCCCCACAGAATGGAAAGAGTCTGCTTTTGTTTTTTTGCTGGTAAATTGAGAGTTTTGCCTACCGTGCAGAGCTTAGCAACTTCAACTAGTTTTAACTTTTTTATTTCTTGTGAATTGATGAGCAGTTATTATAATCTCTACAAAAATAGTAAATTTTTGTATCATGAACGATTTCCTTTTCTTGCTCGGACCTGAACTTTGATTTTGAATGTTACAGATACTATTGAAATCTCATGAATAGTTGTCTGTGTCATTGCGTAAGCTCAGTGGTAGGCTGGAAACCTATAGCCTATTCCCCTGAACCTGACATGATCTCTGGTGGAGGTCAAGTCAAGTCAAGTCATTTTATTTTGTATAGCCCATAATCGCAAATTACAAATTTGCCTCAGAGGGCTTTACAGTCTGTACACATACAACATCCTCTGCCCCGAAACCCACCATCGGCACAGGAAAAACTCCCCAAAAAATGAAAAAAACCCTTACAAGAGGGAAAAAAGGGAAGAAACCTTAGGGAGAACGTCAGAGGAGGGATCCCACTCCCGGGATGGACAGACTACAATGGATGCCATGTGTACAGAATGAACAATGTATAATACATGCAATTCATATGACAGAAATGATTCAAGTAATTGTGAGTAGTAAGCCAGGTGCACAGCAGGACCACTGCAGGGGCAACCACCATCAGATAGAACCACCATCCACAGAAGCCTGTGGGGAGGGAGAGCACAGAGATTTTAGGAGAGGGTAATGTCCGTTTATGAGTACAGTAATATGATAAATATCTAAAATAATGATGATGATGGCAGCAGCAGGCGTCAGCATGGCCACGGTAGGTGTCAGGACCAGGGTCCCGAAGGAACCACGATCTACGGAGACCTGATAGGGGAGAAAGCACAAAAAAAACTCCCGGAAAGAAGCTGAATTACTCATGTGCATTAATAAAAGGTGAATTATGGTAGAACGAGAGCGTGAGAGAGGAGCTTGGTGTGTCCTAAGAATTCCCCCGGGCATTCTAAGCCTATAGCAGCTTAACTAAGGGCTGGTCCGGACTAACCTGAGCCAGCCCTAACTATAGGCAGAATCAAAGAGGAAAGTTTTAAGCTTTACTTTAAAAGAGCTGACCGAATCTGCCCCCCGGACTGAAAGTGGAACCTGGTTCCACAAAAGAGGAGCTTTATAACTGAAGGCTCTGGCCCCCAGCCTACTTTTTAAAACCATAGGAACAACAAGTAACCCAGCATCTATGGAGCGCAGTTGCCTTGTAGGGCAATACGGTGTTACAAGCTCTTGAAGATACAACGGTGCCTCACCAGCAAGTGCCTTGTAGGTGAGGAGAAGTACCTTAAAATTTATTCGTGATTTAACAGGGAGCCAGTGCAGAGAAGTTAATACAGGAGTGATATGATCCCTTTTCTTAGTTCTTGTTAATACACGTGCTGCAGCATTCTGAATCAACTGGAGAGGCTTAAGAGATTTACAAGAGCAGCCTGATAACAAAGAATTACAGTAGTCCAGTCTGGAAGTGACAAACGCATTAACTAATTTTTCTGCATCACTTTGAGACACTTTGAGCTACCTTGAAGGACTGTGGTACATGTCCTGTCAACAAAGACAGATTCATAATATCTAATAAGGATGTGCTAACTAAAGGAAAAACTTCCTTAAGCAGTTTGGTGGAATCGGATCCAAGAGACAAGTAGAAGATTTAGACTTTGAAAATAAAGAAGTCAGTTGATCAAGGTTGATGGAAGAGAAGGCATCCAAACAGGCATCAGGGCCCACTGCTGCATCCAAGGTTCCTACATCGGAGGACAGGTCGGCACTGGTTGAAGGCAGGAGACCATCAATTTTCTCTTTGATAGTCAGAATCTTATCATTGAAGAAGTTCATGAAGTCGTTACTAGTGAGGTCCAAAGGAATACACGGCTCGACAGAGCTGTGACTCTCTGTCAGTCGGGCTACAGTGCTGAAGAGAAACCTGGAGTTGTTTTTATTTTTCTCTATTAATGATGAGTAATAAGATGCTCTTGCGTTACGGAGAGCCTTCTTATACGTTTTAAGGCTGTCTTGCCAAACTAGCCTAGATCCTTCTGATTTGGTGGAACGCCATAATCGTTCAAGCTTCCGCACAGTTTGCTTTAGGTTCCGTGTTTGAGGGTTATACCACGGAGGAGACTTCCTTCTTGTTGCTATTCTTCTTTCCAGAGGAGCAATAGCGTCCAGCGCCACTCTCAAAGAGCCTGTAGCAGTATCGACAAAATTATCGATCTGGGACGGACTGAGGTTCTCACAGGAGTCTTCTTGTATCTTGAGGCAGGGCACTGAACTTAGAGCAGAAGGAATGGCTTCTTTAAATAAGGATACAGCGGTATCCGATAAGCGTCGACTGTAGAAACCTTTGGCAGGAGGAGGTGGTTCTGATAGTAGAAATTCAAAGGTTATCAGACAATGGTCCGACAGGAGAGGGTTCTGTGGAAAAATTGTTAAATGTTCAATCCCAATCCCATACACAAGCACCAAGTCGAGAGTGTGTTTAAAACAGTGAGTTGGTTTATTTACACACTGACAGAAACCAATTGAATCTAACAATGAAAGGAATGCAGTACTAAGGCTGTCGTTGTCGACATCCACATGAATGTTAAAGTCACCCACAATAATTACCTTGTCCGTTTTAAGGACCAAACTCGTTAAGAACTGTGAAAATTCAGAAAGAAATTCTGAATAAGGACCTGGGGCCCTGTACACTATTACAAGCATCAGGTCAAGCATAAAACAAATCCATTCATGTAACCTCAACACGTTACTTTACATACTCTATATCAGGGGTCCCCACACTTTACCGGGTCGCAAGCTACTTACCAACTAACCAAGTCATGGCAATCTACCCCCTTCCCTCCGTGACTGCTGATTGGGGGGATAGCGGTGAATAGCAACGGTGACGCGCTCCAACAACACAAGTTTGAAATTGAAATGAAGTTAAATGCGTCCGTTAGTAAGCAAGAGTCGCTAGTTAGCATTGGCATTCATTTCAGTCATCACCCGCGGTAGACTGCGCATGCGTGACGTGACGTCATTTTTTTTTGCAATGGCGCGCAATCGACTGGTACTGCCTTGTCGTGATCGACCTATTGAAGGACACGCTACTTCCCACATTGGCATGGGATGTAAATCTTCATGTGAAGAATTGTATTACTAAATATTGACACAATTCCTGGAATAATGGGCTGCATTATCATATCCATCTGTGTGGTGAATTAAAACACAAACTCTGGCATATTTACACTGTTTGTTGCTCCACTCTGTTAGGGAAAATTGTTCATGAGCTACTTGCACTTTCCCTGGCATTGCCAATAAAGTCTGTTCTAAAGAAAGCCAGCACTAAAAGCATCATATTGTCAAATCCACAGCAGAAATAACACATGAAACACTTAAAACACTCACAAGCTGTTTTGTTTTTTTCCATAAGGTTGTAAAGGCCAGCTTCCAAAAAAACACCCACAGTAACTCCAACCTGGACCTCATTATTGTGTGATGACTTCCTTATATATGATTCCCAGATGTCCCTTGTTTATATATTGTGTTATCCTCCATATTTCTCTGCAAATGCCAAGTGATGAGACTGAGCTCTGTCTTCTGCTTTATTTAGCTGTTTTTATTTTTCGTGGGCGTTTGTTTCTTATCTCTGGTGGTTGCAGCAATGCAGCGGAATATATGCCTCTTCACATTACATGGTACTACTGCCGGTAATTCAGGCACACAGAATCTGACAAAATCTTCTATGTGCTTCCCTATTCATTTATAAATCCTTCACTCTCCTAATCTCTCTCTCTGCGTCCTTCTGTCACTCTCTTTTTTAGGCTCTTGCCATGGGGATGATGACAGAGTATTATCACTATATCTTCACCACACTGGTAAGTAGAGAACTACGAATGGTTGCATCCCAAAGAACTAGACAACCCTGCTCTTCATTCTTCACTTTCTCCGCTATTCATTTAATATTCATTACGTTGAATCATTCTTTGTCCCTTTAATGCTCTTTCCCAGAGCCAAAGAAAATAACAGCATAGTTGTAGACATCAAGTGAGTGAGGACACCAAGATGGCTGATTACTTTCTTTTGCTTAATAATATTTGGAGTTTCTCCACTCTCACATCTTATTTCTTGTATTCTTCTTTTAAGCAATTATGAAACAATTTATTACTGTTTTAGTTTGTTACCAACACCAAGTGAAAGGCCAACAGCAGAGTCTAAATGGAGCTTGATGCTGGTTAACTCTCGCCCTTTTTCCCCACATTGACCACCAACATCATCACAACAATAAAGTTCCTCTTAGTAGCTTTAAAGCGAATGCCCTGCCTCCTCCACAAACTGGTTATTTTCTTGGATGCGTAGGTCCTATTTGTCCTTCATACCTTCTCATCCCCAAGGATGTTTTAAAAAAGCTACATGCGTCATACTTCAAGAGAAAATTGGCGTTGAAAGTCTTGCCCAAGGGCATTTGAAAATGTAGACACCAGCGGGGCATGTAACTGACCCTGGGATTAGTGGGTGAACCTCAGCCCCCCTTTCCCAATAGACCAGCAATATGAACGAGACTATTGCTAGGTTCCCTGTATGAATATTTAAATATGTATTACTTTTGCAACAAATCTTTTTCTAAGTGCTGAGCAGGAAGCCTATGAGACACTAGTGAGCATGTGCCGTAGAAAAAGAGATAATGTTTTTGTGTTTGTGCTGAGGAAGATGGGAGTCAGCAAGAGGCTCTCAGGGGGCCATGCTTGGTCACCTACTTGTATCATAAGAAGAAGCTCATGACGAGTGTCCTTCAACAATAAGTCAAACTCTACACAAAAAATCCTACTGTGGTAAACCTGAATCAGCTTGCTGTTTCCATCTGTTCTTTCACCACTACTTATTTTTCACTACAAAGACAAAGTCATGTTGGGTGTGTTAGTTTTCTCTCTCCTCTTTATCTTCCCTTTCCTCATATTTTTCCTTCCTGTTTGTTATCTTCCTCCCCACTTCTGCTGCCGCTTTTTATTAGGATAGTTGATATAATAAGCAGTGGTAGTAGTCATGATATTACTTGAAGCAGGAGTATTTCTTTGTCACAATCTTGAAAGTCAGTTAGAAATATGTAAATAAAGAGTGTCATCTAGAGTCTAGGCATACAAGTGAAATCACAACTATTTCCTTTGGAGTAGGGAGAGCTGAGGCAGAAGATGGTGTCACTACGTATTTATGACCTCAATGTAAAGGCCTGGAGTGCGTAGCTCTTGTATTGTGTGGCTCTGTAAATGACCTCGGCTTTGTCTGTATGAACAGAGAAGTGGACTTTCTACTCAGTCAAATGTTAAACCACACATATCTGCATATGTCCACACACTACTCTACATTGTTCTAAATTCCCTGACTCGACAGACTTCTTTTTCAGTCCATGATCCAAACATACTGTTGAAATGAAACTTTTATTGAAATCCCATGCTAGTCTCAGAGGCATTTATCTGCAAAGTATGTTTGACTGTTTGGGATTTGTCATGTTGTGTGGGGCCTACCTGGCATTGGAAAAACAGACAATCATTTACAGTTAAATGAACAATAGAATATGGAACTCAACTTGAAAATGCATTTCCTGCTGAAAATGCATTGGAATGCTAAAAGACACAATTCAAAAAAGCTGAAATTAATCTTAAAAAATGCTGGAAATTGCTGACAATACAGAAATTGCAGAAGCTGAAGTGGACTAAAAAAGAATTTCCTGCAGAAAATGCTAGAAGCTGAAATGAATGTGAAAAAAATGCTGAAAATACAGAAATGGGAGAAGCTGAAGGGAATTTTAGATTTGCTGAAAATGAAGAAATGAGAAAAGCTGAAATGAATTGCAAAAATTATAATACAGAAATTAATATTAAAACATTGCTGTTAATTCGGACATCAGAAAGGCTGAATTTCAGACATCAGAAAAGCTGAATTTATTTTAAAGAATTGTTGAAAATACAAAAATGTGAGTTGAAGTTGAAGAAGCTGAAATTAAACAACAGTGATTTTGAGAGACCCAAGACTCTACCAAACGCGACCAAGTGGTTTATATGTCTGTCCGGTAATAAATACGGCTCTACGAGCAGTTTTACAAAACGTGTACCCTCTTTTTTTTTTTTTTAAATATGTCGGCAGATTTGTATTGGATCCTATGGGGCTTTAGGCACAGGTTGTCTCACTCTCGGGCTCATCAGGCCAAAAGTAAATAACTGGTTCCATAGCCACGTGAGTCAACCAGCACAACCATGCCATCATTTTTATTAAAAAAATGAAGCCTAAAAAGTGTATATTGTGGCCGTGAGGGCAGAAGTCCAATCTTTTTTTAACCTTCCTCGCACTCTAGATCTTCAGCCGTCACTCTAACAAACGCGATACACACTAATGTAAAACTCAGAAACGGACCGAAAAATGAATGAAACATAATCTGTGATCATGAAAAAAGTAGAATAGATATCAACAAGCTGTTTTTATGAAATAGTTTAGACTTTCGTAAACATTTTAAAGTTTAAATGCTGTCTGTAGCTTGGAAAAGCTGAACAATTTGAAAGTTGAAGAAGTTTAAGAGGATTTGAAAATGAACATTGGAAAACTATGTTAAAATATATTTGATAATTGATTTATATGAATTCAAGCATAAGAGGTAGAAAGCTACCTATAGCACCCTTAGCACACTTCTCTTGAATGAGCTGAACATTTACATTTTTGAACAGTTTTAATAGCTGAAAGTATGAAGGAGTTGAAAGGTTATAAAGCATTCCAAGTATAAAGTGCACAAGCAAACAACAATACTATACTATACACAAGTGTGTGAAGGTGTCAAGTGTATTTCAATAGTCAGTCAGTGACGGACCCTGCTGCCGACCGCAAGAAACTGTGTGGCGTGAGGTCTTGGTCCTGATTGACCTCCTGACAGATGGCAAGGACACAAACAGTTTTTATCCAAGGTGAGAGGGGTCAGCTACAGTCTTTCTTGGTGGCTTCAGGGAAAGACGTCCTGGAGGGATGGCAGATTGCAGCCAATCACCCTCTCTGCAGAGCAAATTACACTTACAACTTTTCTTATGATTATACTGCAAATAAAGGCATAAAACCATGTTATGGAAAAGGACAACTTGAATAGGTACACTATAATGAACAACAACAGCGAGGCTATGTAGTCCAAACCGAGACAGTAAACTTTATTATTACTTACAAGACCAAATCTGTGCCTTTGATTCCTGTTTTTTTATAATAAAAAGACTTTTTACTATTTATACTGCATAACTGTTTACGCAAAAGAACTCAGTCACATTCCTTTCATTGATAATAGAAAAATTCTCACTAGACAACGGTGTAAAATCATCAAAAGAGGACATTTAATGTTTGCTAACAGGAGACAGATTTGACACACATACAAGTCATGCGCCAAGCCTAATCCAAGGTTTTCATCTTCGGAGCAGGAATATACAGTTGGAAGGTAAACATGCTAAAACAGGGGAGGGCACTCGGCAACACCCAGGTGCTGGTAGTGGACCTCGGATGTAGACGATCATCTTTGCCACCACAAATAAACATTGACCCACAAACATCTTGATTATCAGATGGCCCAGAACACCATGTGCCTCTATGGGGAAGAACACAGACTTTTTGTTGTACTAAAGTGGAACATTATTGCAGTTTTTCCAAAAATCGAAGATACATTTAGTACCCATCACAAATATGCATTGCTCTATCTTTTTACAATGGTTGTTTTTTACAATGCAATCCTACAATAACCCACTGTCCAAGTTCAATAAGACAACTACCAACACCTTTTAAGCTGAATTATTAACATTCTGTATATTGTTTTAATCAATACAAATTCAAGTGAGTGGTTTGATGTGCTGCAACACAACAGGTCATCTTTTTTGTTTTAAGTATAAGGCTGATGATTGATTTAATATAGTGTGCCTCTCCTTTTTTCTAATGTATTTTCCTTTACTTCCCAGGATCTGTTTGCACTGGACGTGGAGCCTTACCGATACAGTGGTGTGAACATGACAGGCTTCAGGATACTCAACACAGAGAGCAGCCAAGTGGCCTCCATTGTCGAGAAATGGTCCATGGAGCGACTGCAGGCTCCACCCAAACCTGACTCTGGTCTACTGGACGGCTTCATGACCGTGAGTTTTACGAACAAAATGAATGCGTGGTGAATCAATGAATGACTCTGTAGTTTGTCAGCAATCCGTTTTCATGGCATCCATCTGCTCAGTGTATCTCAGGTTGATTCCCATGGGTCTGTCGAGTCTTTTGCTGAGAACATACTCCAATACATTTAATTTGCTTCAATGATCTCCATGTTTGTCTTCTGATGTCCTTTTCACATAATTTAATCTGGACAAAAGAAATATTTAATATAAGAGCTATGACAGGAGAAAAATATTTTTCCTGTTAGTAGGTCTTAATGTAGATCTTAATGTAGGTTTATTCATTTTGTTGGTTTGATAAATTATAAGAGTTATAAACTACACCCATACAACAGCGATAAAAGTTCAATGATGATAATAGCTAGAAATAGGTCAACATCAAGGCGTCCTACCTTACAGAAACGAACCACTGACCACCAATATTAACTCAATGTGGCCATGACTCATTCAGGGTCTGCTGCAGTGGTTGGACACTAGCCCCTTTCATCCTACCCACGGAAATCCTTCAGTGAGGCATCTCTCACTTTCCACATTGATGATTTTTTTATATTGTATCTACTTGAAAACGAACTATTTTGCTTCTTTGACAAAATCTTTGAAAATAGAAATTGTTCATGTAGAGCGGAGGTCTTGTGGTATAAACATCAACTTTATTGATTTAACTTATGCCTTTTGTCTTGTGGTGTGCTTCGGAGTCAAGATGAAACACATAACATTTTAAATTGGATGGTTATTAAGCAGAAACAAAAATTCAAAGGTGAAACATATAAACACATAATCTGTCAATGACAAATATTGAAAGGTTATATGGTCATGTGAATTCAGACCGATAGTTGCCCCAGACTGTGAGGGAAGCAAGAGGAGTGTCCATAGGGGGCATGAGTGAAACTATTATTGGTTCATACACTGGAGGAGTGGAACTAAATGGTGGTAGCAAGTCTGCGCAGATGAGGCATTCATCAAAACCACTTTCATTTGAAAACATTTAATATAGCAATGTATATAGCAAGTGGCGTAACATACAATACAGAAAAGAGAATCATAAGATATCAATTTGTGAACACATAAGTGAGAAAGAACAGCTTCAAATGTCATTAGGAGTCCTTTATCATGCCCTCTGGAAATACAAATTTGAAATAAAAAATCCAATATGATTTTCACATATTTTTTCAGAGAAAGATTGCAACAACACCTTCTACATGTTACATGTTTTGTTTCTGGTCTGCTCTCGGGGTCTGTGTAGTTTTATTGATGTGTAGAAATTTTATCAATTTTCTGATACTTTGAAGAAGTGTTTTTAACTGTAAATAGATCATAACCTTAAGTAGTAGTTAGGTAAGTAACACTACTATGGGCACATAATGGAACAAAGGAGATGGCCACCCCAAAAAGTGTTTGCTTCTCCCTTTTACTCTGATCATCTTTTCTCTGGCAACCACGCCAAAGAGCGTCTACTCACCAGAGACATGGAATGGGAAGGAAAAGAGAATAAAGGATGAGATAGCAGAAATGAGAGTAAAAAGTTAAAAAAAGAAGGAAAAACAGAGTGGGTGAAGGAAAGGCAGAAGTGAAATCACAGTCATTGTGTTTTATTCCCGCACGGATGGATTGAGGTGTTAAATGTCTGCCCATTGAAGCCGATGTAGCCACTTGGTCTGATTCCAGTTGGAAAGCTCTGGCGGCAACAACATGTCGGCTGCTGATTGAAAACAGTGGCTTACTCTGGGGAATAATGTTTTTCGATTGATATCGGGGAGTGGGTGTTACTCAGTTTAAGCCTATTTGTTGGATTTGTGGCTCAATCAATACATTTTCCCAGTTGAGACCCACAATGGACTGTGTGTGTAATAGCTGTACCTTTTCAAAACACAAAAAGCAATTCAATGACGAGAGACTTCCTGAATTTAACAAAAATGTATTAAACAAAGCCTAAATATGAATAGTGCAACGTCTTTGGAGCTTGGACTTCTTCCTGCCGTAGAATAAACCAGAGATTAGTTGAGGCATATTCCCCAAAACAAGATGTAATTGAATGAATAAGATAAGAATAAGAATAAGATACTTCAATACTTTGGCCAATGAGATGTCAAGGCAGGAATGTCATCCTGAGCTGACGTTTAACAGGGATAGAGCTGGTTAGGGTAACATATGTATAGTAGCTGACATGAATTAAATTTACGATAGAGGTCAAGTGTAATCAGAAAACGATAGAGTAGGGTCTCAATCGACCAGAGACGAGGATACAGAGTCAAGAGCGACTGCAAGACATTATAGCGAAGGGTTGACCACAGTAAGGCATGTTGGGATTACAACAGATCCCGAAGTGAAAGAGGGGGTCTCGATAGACTGCATGATGGGATAGGTTGGGGTCGAGTGGTGGTCCCATAAGCCCGCAGATAAGATTGTTGTGATGTAACAGTCAGGGTCAAGTGAGACCCTTAGAACAGACTTGGTTGCCTGGGGGCACCCTTTCAGAACCATTTGACTGGTCAAATTGCACCAGAAATAAGAAATGATGTCAGCTTGACTGGTTGCTTTAGACCGTGAAATCAGAAATTTTTTCAGCTTTACGGATCAACCTTCAGACCTTTTCTTTCAGAAATGGAAAATGGTCCCGTTAGATGAGGAAACAGTCAGGTTAAGCCAGCGCACATTCACATAGGAATTTGTAGACATGGTATATATGTATCCTACAATTACTGTCTATGATTTGTTTGCGTAGGTTAGTGGCAGAGTGTTGCTGTGTCAAAACGGGGGCGGGGGAGCAGTGGTTGCTAAGGTGGTGCTGGTATCTTCAACTAGCATGGGTGGCCTCGAATAGTTCTTCTAGAAGGCTTGAAGGTCTGGCACCCCGCTGCCAGGTGTTATGCCAAGCAGTTTGGGTGGTTGGGAGAGGAGAGTTAGTGTTAGTGTTTTTTGCTGGGTTACAACGGTCCTGCTGGAAATTGGTGAAGGCTGGATTTCTGAGGATCGCAACGGAGCGTGGTGATGGATATATATTATATAAATATTTTTTATTGTGTGCGTGCTGAAAATGTCAACTGACAGTAACAGAGAACAGTTTGACAGCGCAGGCAAGTACTAAACGATCCCGCCCAGTCAGCTGACGAAAGGATGTGTGTCGTCATCTTTATGTTTATATTCAGTTCTTTTATTCTTGTTTTATGCTGTTGAGATTAATCAGGCCTGTACAGCTGAAAGGTTAATTTTTGATCCATGACTCGCAGGTGTAAGTAAGGAGTGTGCCCTCGCACCCTGACATCAGTGAATTGATGGTATATGAGTTTGAAGGTTGGGATTGATTAATTAGACAAATGGCAATTACTCAGCAGCTAATGCATATTGACATGGTGAAAGGTTCCCAAAACGTTCGATTAAGGGCTTCATTTGTGTGCTGTATTTACGGTTTTAAGTAGTGAACTGCTGATGTGCTGTAATTTATGGACTGACAGATCATGACAGTGAGTATGCAGTCAGGAGAATTTTCTTTCACACACCAAACAGCACCCTTTATTAACACAATATTGGCGGGGGAGGCTGCTTGAACACTTTGGCTGATTGCAGAATACAATCAAAGCCACAGTTCATCTATGTTTAAATTTAATTGAAACAATTGGGGAGTTGCTACTTCTCCTAAATTGTTAATAAGTGATGAGAAAAGATAGATACAAATCTATGTACAAATCCATCACACTTCCTTTCATTGACGGCCCATTTATTTCACAATAATTCACAAAATGAAAAAATAATGGGGCACCACCCTACAGAGGAACTAAAACCCAAACTATAAACCAGGTCTCATTATTGATATTCACATTACCATACATTAGTCATATTAAGAGTAAGAAATTCAAACACTATACTATGGGTCCAGCCACAATCAAAGCACAAAGTAATCACAGAAAACTACCTTAAAGCAGTGGTCCCCAACCACCGAGCCGCGGACTGGTACTTGTCTGTGGGCCATTTGGTACCGGGCCGCACTACAGAAAGAATTTTTTTCTTTTTTTTTTCTGAAAAATGTTTTATTTTGAAAATTGACCGGATTCTCTCCTAATTATGGGCGCTCGTCCCTCTTGACATAATTCTCAAGCGTCACCAAGCGTTTACAATTGTCCCCTCTTACCGTGCACAGCAGTTTTCGCCCACCAGCGAACAGAAAGCACTCGACTACTTCCCTCCCGTTATTCCGCCGGACCTTCTTGACCGGTCCGCGAAATATTGTCTTACATGAAACGGTCCGTGAGGTAAAAAGGTTTGGGGACCACTACCTTAAAGCATAACAGAAAACTAATACTAATTTGATCAATATTATTTAAAATCAACAGAAACTGTATCTATGTGTTGTGTGTGTGTGTAGCTAAGGAGGGAGAGAACTATACTGTAAATGAAAAAGGGGGTTAACTGGAAGTTAAGCTAAATGTGCTAAGCGTCTCCCTCACATAGTTAAACCTGTCACTAGGTAAATCTATATGTGTAGAGGGACTAGGGTCACAAAGGGCCGGAAAGTTTCCAAAAACTTTACATGGGAAGTTTAGCACGGGGAAAAGGAAGGTGAACCAAACCCCCCACCCCGTAGCTAGCTATTGTAACCCAAATCTTTTTTCTCTCAACCCGATATTGACGTAGACCTGAAAGGAATCAGGGAAAAACCAGAGGCTTGAGGAGCTTAATTCATTTTACATTTAGAAGTTTACTTAATTTTGGGAGCGTGGGGCGAGATCCTAGGGAATACAATTTTATTCAATGTTTATGTTGTTCAATGAAATAATAAAGTTCTACTCACAAATGAATTATGTCAGAAATGTAAATTGTATTAGAAATGTTTTCATGCATGTCTGCTTATGACAAACAAAATGTTGATAAGGCGACAGTTAAATTACCCCCAAAGTTTCAGTTTATTTGTGTTAATTTCCATGGAAAGTGTACAACTTTGAATATTCCCTGAATTTTGCAAGCCTATGATGGACAGG